TATAGGATTTTATCAATCAACTTATAATAATTCAAATTTACTCTATTTAGACTAAAAATATTACTTTCTATGCCAATAATTATTGCAGCAATTCTAGAAAGTGAACTTTTTATATCGAATCAAATTACAACAAAAGTAGAAAGTCTATTTGCTACACTGGTTCAAAAACTTGTGTAAAAATTCAAGACTTCATACATCCTCTTTTTTTATACTGCTCTAGAATTAGAGTAAAAAAAAATCTTCTTGTTAGTATTGAAAAGGAAAAAAGAATTCAATAAAAAATGTTAACATTGCTCAAGCAACACCAAAAAAAATTGATAAAAACTCGTCCAAGAAAACCATTAAAACTTCCAATATATATATATATATAATCACATATTCTTGTCTCAGGAAGCATCCTTTGGTCAACTAGCTACCCATATATAACTGATAGTAACTCCTGCTCACATTTTCAATGAGAAATCAACCATGTAAGTCACAGAATATCAATGCTTAATCCTAGGATTTATATAAAACTTAAGATTTTCATTTTCAATGAATATAATCTTTCAATATAATGGTACCTATATAACCCTAGGAACACTGTCAAAGAAAGATCAACACATTTGAAACCCAACATTTTTGACCTCAAGTTGAAAATTTTGAAATCCAAAGTGAACTCCAAAAATTAATCGAATCATGAAACTTGAGAAAAAAAAAAAATATATATATATATATATATATTTTTAAAAAAATAGATCAGATCGTTACTTCAAGGTTTAGAGTGATCCTATGTCATGATTTGAGCTCCTTTTACCTTTGAAATGAAATACTTGCGGAGCCTCCACATTTCTTTCTTTATTTCCCTTCTATTTTCAAAGACACAAATCCTTCTTTTATAAAACTTGTGACAATGATTTTAGTATATACTTTCTTTAGTTTTATTTATAATTTTTTGTCCAAAATTTATAATTTATTTTTAACATATTTCATTAGAATTAAAAAAACCTTGAATTTTGTTAAGTATGTTAAAAAATTCAACAAATTTCTAACTCTATCCCTATTAATCATATATACTGTAAAAATAAAATATTCTAATATTTAATAATTTTTCAGCATTTGATAAAAGGTCAAAAAAATAAAAATAAATATAATAATTACTAAAATGTTAAGATTAAAAAAAATATTTTCTACTTATCTTATAAACAAGACGAGAGAATTATATATGTGCCAATGCAGGCTGCTAGAAATCCCTTGTTGACAAGAAAAATTCCGCCTGTGCTACTTGCCAACCAATAACTAAGTATGCGGCAAATTTCTTTATTTAATTTTAAAACAATATAATGCAATTAAAATATTATCCAAGTAGTTTATTTATAATATACTTTATTTAGGGAAGGGTATATTGGTCAATCAAGCAAAAGAATATCCCACGTCACCGTCTGGCTTTCTAAACAGGGTATGACAGGCTAATGCTGTCACTCCCTTTACGTGCCCACATAGATTAAGCTGCGCCGTCCACGTGGGCACTTGTGGGGGCGCACTCAAGATGACTGCGTTTTTCAACAACTGTCAAACTTGACCATGCTTCTCGTTACGTGTAAACGTGAGAATTAGGACGGGCCCATCTTTAAAGGCTTAAATCCTAAAATTCAATTGTCCAAAACTCAATTTAATTTTAAAGTTTGGGCTTTATTTAAAAAATTTAAAGTGAGATCCTTAAGCTCTTTTTTGTAAAAAAAAAAAATAATATTTTAATTTAAATAAAATATTTTAAAATTTAATATAAAATAAATCAAAGGTTTACATAAAATTTAAAAAAAATTTAAAATTTTAAACTTAATATGATGATTAAAATTTTCATCAATAAAAATTTAAATCTTTCTCATCATCATCTAAAAATAAAATATTAGATACCTCAAATATAGATTCAGTTGTTAAAAATATAGGTGAATATTTAATGTCAATTATCTCTATAATTTTTTCTTTATTATCAACAATAAATATTAATTAAATTACGTTATTATCAATTAAATATATGTATGTATATGTGTGTATACATGTGTAAGATAATCAAACTTATTAAGACTTGAAGGGCCATTCAAGTTTTATTTTTTTTAAAAGACTTATTAAAATTAGGTCTTCAAGTTTGATTATTTAAAAAAATTAATTTCTAAAATTTGAATTTTTATTTAAATAAAACTTTTAAGTTCGACCTTGACTCTTATTTTTAACTCTAGTTATGTGCCATCAAATCACGCTCTTCTCCACGTGGCACACCATCAGTAACAGTTCCCTAACTCCCTAGCACACAGCCAGGTAACATTAGACCAACCCATGAAGTGATTGTATCGGACAGAGTACAGTACTGAGGACCAAGAGAAGTCAAGCGTTCATCATCAACGGTTATGATTCTATCCGTACATATCCAGGGGATCTCCGTGGCTTAGTGGGAATCCAGCTTCGGAAGAATGACATCCGAAGACCCAAGTCATGTGAATTTTTTTTTAATTAAAAAAATTGTAAGCTATAATTACTTCCAACAAAAAAAATTAATCTTTTAAAAATTATATTTTGAACTGAAGTTTTTCATGAATATGAGAATATATCTATTTTCGAAACAAAAGGTATAAATAAAATTTCAAAATTATTATTAAATTAATTTTTTTGTTTATTTATAAGAAATTTACCGTTAAGATACCAAAAATAATAATGTCTTAAAATTTAATGGTAAATTTTTAGTACCAGGTAGCAAGTTAAAAATTTCTTATGATAACATTAATCATGAAAAAAATAATATTAAATTTTATGTTGTTTAAAATTTAAGTTTTATTTAAAAGAATTATTACTTGGCATAAACAAGATTTATCACCTTACTATGTGTGGAGATAGAGATTTATTATGGGATAAATTGGCACATTGGCCGGGAAAAAAAATCTTGTGCCCAGAAATATGAATGAAATTTTTAAAAATTTAAGATTGTCGTCAATTTATATTGATATACAAAAAATTAATCATTAATATACAATGGGTTATTGTTAAAAATTTATAAGAGGTTTATCATTAATATATAACAATATATCATTAAAAGTATAATAAAACATTTATAATACAACATATAATAAATATTAGGATGATTGTTTGTTTGGTCCTATAACATGAATTATATCTGTAAAAGCCTTTTTATTATGTTAATATATATATATATATATATTATCTATTAAAATTTATTTAGGAAATATTTTGTATTTAGTAGATATAGGATATTCATGAGTTATTATTAGGTTTATCTACATATTGTAAATTTTTCATAACAATAGAATATGACATTTTTCTTAGTTTTCTTTATTTTATTTTTTTGACTTCTTTTATGGTATTAAAGCCAAATTTGAATTGATTCGAAGGTTGACCTCTTTGCAGTTGTCGTTATTCTTTCTTTTTTTAAAGAAAAAGAAAAAAATAAAGAAGGAAGCTTATTGAGACCAAGCAAACAAAAAACCATCAAGTCATCAATGGTTGTCACAACTTCTTCCCTAGAAATCGTGAAATTAAAACCTGAACCTAACTATAATACCATGAACGAAGTTAATAGAGAAATAAAATATATCCAAAAAAGTTTCATACTCTATTAATATGAAATACTTAAATATATAGATAAATTTAATAATAATTAATGAATATTTTAATAATATGTAATGAATTCAAAATATTCCCTAAATTTTAATATAATAAATCTTAATAGATTTATGTATGTTAACATAATAAATTTCAATCTCAACCCTATGCATGGCCTTTTGCAGTGTTCCAAGAGAAAATCTCATTTTTGGAGTTATAAATTTTTATATTTGATATTGATATAATGATGTTAATATTAATGACAATTTTAGTTCTTCTTAAAAATTGAAGTAGATAAGTTATTAAGGTAAAAAAATGTAGATAAATTAAAATTAATTTAATACATAAAAATATCATAAACTAATATTTAGAACTTATAGATATTACTACCATCTACAAATGTTAATAATAACTTGGTATGTTGAATATTGAATTGTCCAGCAAAAAATAAATTAATACTTCATTATTCTCTAACATATATGGTACTCTCTCCGTTAAAAAATGGAAGCCATTTTTTAAGGAGTTTGATATTAAAAAATATAAGACATTTTTAATTTTTTGAGGTGTAATCATTATTTTTTAAAAAAATGCCCCTGTTGATAGTGACTTTATATTTATTGTAGGGTATTTAATAGAAGTAAATATAAAAAGATAGGGTTAGTTAAAAAGTAGGTAACTACTTTATTGAGAGGTGAAATTCGGTTAAAAATGTTTTACGTTTTTAAACGGATGGAGTATCTTGTTTTTTTCTTCATATATACACATACATAGTCTATTTAAAAATAATAGGTATTTTCTTTGAGAGGTAAGATATTGAAATATACAAGGCATTTTGATCTTTTAAGGTGTAATTAATGAGTTTTTTTAAAATAACCTTAATTAAAGGTGAACTTAATAATATTATTTAATTAAGATATTCTATTAAATAGAAATAAATACAGAAAAGAATGTGTGATTTTAAAAATAATTAATTAACTTATTTTAAATATAACTCAATTAAAAATGCATTGTAATAGTGATCAAGAACAAGAGTGTGTGTGGGGGAGGGGGTTACTTAGAGATTCAGTCAATTTTACAACTATGAATGACCCTTCTATTAAATTAGCTTACCTTTAACTTAGCTTCTAAAAAGAATATTATATAATTTTTAAAAGTTTTTAGTAAGCTTCATGAGCTTTGGGTCCCTACATGTAATTTACGCCAGAATCTTAAGAATCGCGTCTGAGACGTGTGCGGTCCGTGTAAGAAAGAGTCACCCTCACTCGACCTCGTTATTCACCGGGGTTATACTAAGGATTAAAAGTTAATTTTTCCCCCCCTTGGGGACCAAAAAGCTTACATTAATTATATGGAAAGCATTTGTTAATGAATCATTTTTATGTTTCTTTTTTAGCCTTTTCCTTTTCTAACAACCATAAAACGCGGTCCCATTGGCTACAATATAATTCCTCTCCTTCCCATCAGAATTCTATCCCTCTCATTTCTCCTTGTTTCTCTCTTGTTCTTGCCCTGATTGTTGTCGAAAATCTGGGTTCGATTTTTCCGCTTAGTGTTCCATTATATTCCTGTGTGTTCAAAATCTAATTGGGGTTATATATTTGGGATACTAATTGAAGTGAACAAATTTTGTGATTTGAGGTTGAAGGGGAGAAAAAAGAAATCAATTCGAGGAATTCAATTGAGGAATTGGAAAAATGGGTCTGGCAAATTGGGGGAAATAGTGTGATACAGTCTTAAAAGAGTGAGAGAGCTTCGTGATTTGGGTGGCTACATGAGGATGCCAGCGACTGACTTTAAAGGTTCGTCTCCTTCGTTAGCTCATTTTGGCCGCGCGCTTCTCAGTCTTCGTCGTGATCCCGTTCAAGTTCATTCAATGGAAGGGTCAGCTACACCTCAGCCTCAGTATCAAAACTCTAATTTGGACCAGGAGCTTGAGTCGTTTCAGAAACAGGTCACAGACCGATTTCTGGATCTCTCTTCAGCTGGCCAGGATGATTTGCTTTCTCTTTCATGGGTAGGGAAGTTGCTTGATTCGTTTATCTACCTTCAGGAAGAATTTAGGTATATTCTTCACAATCATAGAACTCTGGTGTTTAAACCCCCAGTTGATCGAATGATGAGTGATTTCTTTGAACGGAATGTGAAAGCTCTAGATGTGTGTAATGCAATACGAGATGGGATTGATCAGCTTCGGCAATGGCAGAAGCTGTTGGAGATTGTTCTGTTTGCATTGAACCATCAAAAGAGTATAGGCGAGGGACAACTTCGTCGTGCTAAGAAGGCACTCATTGAATTGTCAATTGTGATGCTTGATGATAAGGATTCCAATGCGTCTCTGGCACAAAGAAGCCGATCCTTCAGTCGCAACGCTGTTGGCAGAGATCATCATCATAATCATCACCATCGTTTTCGATCACTTTCATGGAGTGTCTCTCGCAATTGGTCTGCTGCTAAGCAGATTCAAGCAATTGGGAACAACTTGAATCCTCCAAGAGGGAATGATCTTGTGGCTTCTAATGGACTTGCAGGGGTTATTTTTACTATGAATTCGATTCTGTTGTTTGTAATGTGGACTCTTGTTGCTGCAATTCCATGCCAGGACCGTGGACTCCAGGTCCATTTTTCAATTCCGAGGAGTTTTTCATGGGCAGCTCCATTGCTATCACTACATGAACGGATTATGGATCAGTCGAAGAAGCGTGAGCGAAGGAACTCGTGTGGCCTGCTAAGGGAGATTCATCAAATTGAGAAATCTACTAGGATGATGAATGAACTGGCTGATTCAGTACATTTTCCATTGACGGAGGAGAAAGAAGGGGAGATCAGACAGAGAGTGCAGGAGGTTTCACAGGTTTGTGAAACTTTGAAAGATGGACTTGACCCCTTGGAGTTCCATGTGAGGGAAGTATTTCATAAGATTGTGCAGGGCCGAACCGAGGGGCTTGACACTGCAGGTAGGCTAAACCAGCAGGAATCTTGAGTAACATCTTGTACTCATCATTTGGTCCAGGGTCTTAAAAGTTCAAGTAGGAGCAAAACCCTGATTTGGATTGCAAGGAGAACAAAATGAAGAAGCTGCAGAAGGTAAATATGATTAGGTAAACAGTTGAAGAAAAGGGAGGAAGATTGTGAAGCAAGATGATTTAAAATGAGAATTATGGCAATAAGAAATGGGAAGGGGGGATATTTCTAGTAATTTTGAAACTTATACAATTTATAGAGTTTAGAATATTGGAAGTAGTTATTTGATGTCAATTCTGTTTGTCTTTCTCCCCTGTATGTTTTTGGCCTTGTGATGCTGCTATTGTAATCAAATTTCTCTGTAAATTGCTTCATCTTCATTGTAGCTGATTTTGTCCATGAATATAATATATGTACAATGTACATTTTGCTTTTGGTTCATATACTACAGCTTTTGTTTTCATCTTCTGTAAATTAACATTTGAATGACATTGATAGCGTTCAAGCATTTTCCTTCTCTCTCTCTCATTCCGTACAATTTCTGTTGAGAAAAAAATTATTGAGACCGCATTCCTGAGTCTGTTTCTTGAAATACTCTGCAGAAAATGGGCAATGACAATTGGAAAACTCACAAATTGTATCTGATTCCTGTATTATCCTATTCTCAAATTTCTCCCTTTTCCATAAGTGACAATATCATTGCTGAGCATAGTGCAATTCCATTGATGATGGGATTGAGTTGGTAATTTGTGACTTTCAAGTCAAGTCAATAAAGCGGTCCATTGCCAACCAGAATTGAATGGATTTCTGAATTGACATGAGCTGAACTTTTTGGTCCCAGATTAATGTATTATTGATAACCCTTGAAAACTGAGCTCTTGGTATTTTCCAATTTGGATAAAGTCAATCATGTTTTCTCAGGCATTGTACGAAATCTGAAAAATGAGCCGCATTGCTTATGACTTGTAAATAATATGCTTGATATTTATATCTTTTGTATTTTATATCAATACTGCTTATTTGCATCCCAATTCATTTGTCCTCTGCTTAGAAAGAATTCCAATTGTTACAGTTACTCTCAAGTTTCACTAAATCTAACCATGAACCAAGCTAAGTGCAGGCTAATGAATCATTCAAGATTTGTGTATAACTCTCCAGGGTATTGAAAATCACTCTCTCACACACACAATGCTATAGAATTATTGTGCAGTGCCATTTTGCATTATTTCTCATAGCATGGCAAATTTCTGTGTTAGAACTCAGAGTAATAGTCCTGCAAATCTCCCACTATCTGTTCTTTTTTGCTTTCTATAATCTATCCCTATATGTCTTGTTTGCACATGTAGCACCTGTGGAAAATTTTGCTTTACAACCAAATTATTTCTTTCCAGCTCAATGCAGAACAGGCTTGATTCTTTCATTTGAAGAAGCTAAATGATAACGATCTGCTTTGGAGAGAGATGAAATAAACTTCCATTGGGATACATGCTGCAAAGAACCCAAAGTTAAGTCCAACTTCCTTTCTAGGAAGTTTAAGGTTAGATCAACGGTCATACACATGCTTGATGCAAGAGTTCAACACACGCCAACTAAGGTTAGTCCAAATAGCACAAATTAGTCCTTGCTGGCCTGGCGAACCTCTAGGACCGAACTCACCTGCATTTTACATTATATGTAAAGGAGTTCAACACATGATGTCTTGCCAAATGGGGAAGAGCATTGAAATTTATCTAACTCCCATCCTTCTTGGAAGTTGAGGTTGGATCAGCTTCTGTGAACATGCACTCCTCAGGTGAGCTTCTGGAATCAAACTCACCAAAAATTTTTGTCATAGAAAGGGGAAAAAAAGGAAGTTCAACAGTGTTGAGTTGACAAGTGGAGAAGAACATTGAAATTTATCTAACAATTATCGCTATTTATGGTGCTGGGTTCTGTCATGTGATGTTCACATTTGTTTTAGTGGCCTTGTCTATTTCCATGATTTATAACTTCAGAAAGTAGTGGCTGTTATGCTAATTGGTCCTATTTCTCATGCTATTGTCTTGAAACACTGCTAATACATTTATAGCCAGTTAGCTCCAACGAACCTGTGGCTGTGGAGGACTTAAGACATAGAATCATTTATCATAATATCCTCATTTTGGAAGAATAATAATTCAGTTGGTGGCATTTAACTTCACCTAAGTTTCAGGTAATAAGCTCTGTGTTGTTGTGATGTTGTCCCAAAGGATGAGATCCTTCTTGTGGCATAAATATATGTTGTCTTCTTTTTTCTTTTTCATATGCAAAAAAGTTTAGATAAGTTGGGTATTAGTGTTCGCTAAGGTCAAGCCACATCTTTAAATTTTAAAAAATATTTATAAAGATAGTTATAAATTGATCATAAACAATGTTATCACATTGACAATAGCAGTTAAATTTGTAACTCTGTGAGTTGAGGTAAATCTTACCAACTGAATTAATTGTGTTGTATTCTATTAAGTAGCTACTATTGAAGATGACATTAATGTGGCCCCACAATGATGCGGAGAAGTGATGAGTTATAGGCTCTAGCTACTACCTACTGTGTAGTGACTTGCTAGCGACATCTACAGACTAATCAACAAAATGCCCTTCAATTATACTGTGAAGAAATTAGAAATTAAATTATGGAAATTTACATGTAAAGATCTTTAAAAATGAATTTAAATTTTACCTTGTTATGAGGAAATGAGAGTGAATGATACTGTTTAAACTTTAAAATTGATTAATGATTTTTAACACATTTTTATTGTATGTTGATATTGATATCTACTAAAAAGTACAAGCACATAGAATGGGTGATATTGGATAGAAAAAAAGGGAGACTTTCAGCAAAGGGTTGTTGTAGATGTTTAATTTCAAGTAAAGACCAGTAAAATTATGTTTTGATGGGAAATGACTAAAATGTTTTTTTATTAATAAAAAAAAATTCAAGCCAGCTAGAGCCCTACCGCCAGCCAGCAGATCCTCACCGTGCCAGTGATTGGACCACCACTATAATTACCCTTGCAAATGAAAAGTTCACTTCATGGTTCAAGTTCAAAAGATTGAACATGTAAAATGTATTGATAACAAACTCTTGTGATGAAGTAACAAGTAAGCATTAACGAAATATTATTTTAATTCAAATTTGGTTTGAGAACTTGTTTTATATTATATATAAAATTGTGCATTATATAATCAAGTGGCATTGGTGGCGTAGTTATTATTACTTTTTTTTTAAAAAAAATGAATGAGAGATTATAGGTTCAAACTTTCTATTGGTCACCTTGGAGTATTTATCCTCTTACAGCTGACATCGTTGTCGCATTGGCGTGATGGAAACTTTCTTAATATAAATGAAGGAAATTTTGATCATTTCTTATCAAAATAAAATTTCAATTTAATCCCTTAATTTAATGTTGTAATTTCTAATTTTATTTACTGAATTATCCTTAGAAAGGTTAGTAACCTCAAAAAAGTAATTTGCTCAAAAGGAAGCTATAGATTGAAATTTTATTGAAGTTATAGATTGAAAAGTAAAAGAAGATAACGAGATATAGTGCAAAAATAAAAAAAAGGAAAAGAAAAAAAGAATGTGAAAGGATATTATAATAATAAAAAAAAGAAAATCAATATATCCAATAGAATTTGAAAACCTTGCTATATTATAAATTTATTTTTATTAATTTAATCTGCAAACTATGAAGATAAAAACAAATATGTATTTCGATTTTTACATGCCATAGTCAGTTTTTTTTCCCCCTCTTGTGTCTAGTATACAAACAAGAAAAGATAAGCACCAAAGATATTTAAGATGAAGAGACTAAATTAAATCAAATTAAATTGAGTGGTTATTAACATTATCGTTATACATCATTTGGAATTTTGGATAGCAACTGACTAACAGTATCAAATAATTTTTGTATTGAGATTCCTTCGCGGGTCCTCACCTGACTGAGAGATCTGAATACATGAGATGGGTTGCGATGCACGGATATCATCAATGATATTAACATTAATATTAAATAAAAAAGTTGACGTTAAATCTTATAAAAAGTATTATCGGTTAATTAACCTAATTTCTATCTAACAAAACTAGTTTACAGTATCAATAGACGAAAATAATAAATAACTTAATATATTTTTCCGTCTCTCATTTCATCCCTGATAATGTAGCAATAAGATTTACCACCTACAGAATAATGTACTAGATTAAAATACTGATAATAAAAGTAAAATATATTAACATAATCTAATAAAGGAAAAATTACATCAACTAGGTCTCTTAAGACTTAAGTGTAATTTAAAATTAGACTATAAAGATAATAATATACCTATTAAACATACATTATATAAATTAAATAATTAATTTATAACTAATTTATCAACAATTTACAACTATAATTTTAACTTTTTACAACTACAACCTCATATATCTAATAGTTAACTAATCATGCATTACTAATAAATTTTAATATTAATTGTTTATAATTATTTTATTAGTAGTTTATAACTATAAATTTTTACAAGTTTAACTTCACATGTTGAATAATTAAACTAATCTGTTTAATTATTGGATATATAAAATTATAATTATAAAAAATTAAAGTTTTGGCTATAAATTACTGATGAAGTAGTTGTAAATTGTTTGACTAATATAATGTATATATGTTTAATAGGAGTATTATTATCTTTTTACCTAAATTAAAAATTACGCTTAGGTCCTAAGAGATTGAGTTGTAGTTTCTACACTTCATAGAATTTATTTGTAAATAAATTAGCTCCATGAGACTTATATGTAATTACTAAGGATAAAAATAATTTTTCAAAGTTCAAGATCTCTTTTAAGTTTTAATTTATTAAATTAAAAGTAAAATATATTGACATTTTCTCAGTTTTTCTGTAAATAATAAATAAACATTATTCTATTTTGAAAATCTACATACACATATCTTAAAACTTAGGTAATACTACACTAATCACTTTTATGCTTTTAAGATTTTATTTCCATCTACATTGCTAATAATAAATGGGTGGTCATCAAGTTTTTTTTTTAAAGACAGTAACAAAATTATTCCTTTTCTAACCGAAGTACTACTCCTCCTTAACATGAATATTCTTATAATTTTGTTGAAATTTTTGAAATGTATAACTCTTCTTTAAATTAAACAATTATGTTATTGTCAATTTATCTTTAAATAATTTTTACATAAACCAGTGTGTGTTGAAGATAGACCCATTGATATGATGGGAAATAATATGAATTTTTATAATATCATAAATTAATACTCAAATCCCTATTAAAAATTAGTTTTTTATTTAATGCTCTACTATACCTTAGACAAAAATATAGACAAATTTTTAAATAAGCCAAATGTATCATATCATTTATGATCTATTCAATAAAAACATGATATTCAGATGGTATTAAATATAGAAAAAATAGTAATGAAGGATTGTTGGAGGAAATTTATATCAATTAAGGACTAGTTGTTATCAAAATTCAAACAAAAAAATTTAAATTGACTGTTGTTAATTTAAAATAAGTTATTGTTAAAATATAAATGGATATTTATTGATAAAAGACTAACTTAAATCGATAAGTATCTATTCAAGTTTTGACAATAAGAAAACCTCAGCTAATGTAAATTTTCTTCAGCAGTGATTGATTGATATTTTTTTAAATATAATTTGATTCAATAATAAGAAAAACTAATCATATTTTGTGGGACAAATCCCAAGAAATCAGATGAGGAAACGGATGTTGCAACTTGAAAGCCATAATAAAATGGGATCGTTAGCTTGATGGATTAAGTCAGGATTTTGTCGAATGAAGCATGCGTGCAAATTAAATAATTAATTAGAGCCTTTGAATTAATAATAATGGTTATACAATACATGTCAATTTCAAACGCAATTCTTGATTTCTTGCACGCATAGTTTTCTGCTTTACGCAATACTTCAAGTTTTGGAATTTAAAGCGAAATTATTCAAAAGGCCTTATGTATTATCATTTATTTATCTTTATATATATTTTTTAGTTTTTGAGCAAAAAAAAATCATATATTAAAATTTTGTGAGCAAGTAATTCTAACATTTCATTTTCAATAGATAATAGAACTAATCTATTTAATCAATTTTGTAACATGGTTGTTCTTGAATAATATTTAAGTAATTCTAATTTCAAAAAATTTCTTTTAACAATAGTAATAAATTTTTAATGGGAAGATATAATTAACATTATTGCTTAATAGAAGAATAATGATTGGTTATATGTAGGGTATAAGCAAACAATAAATTCTTATTGCAAATATCTAATTAATAGTAATGTTTAACAGGTAAAATAATGACCGGTTAATGTTTAACAAGAAAAATAATGTTTGGTTATATAGCGTATAAGTGAACATTTTCTGAGGCTTAAAGCAACGGCTTAGTAACCTCATAGCTTACACCACCTTGAGCAGAAGCGTAAGTGAAAGTGAAAAAGAAGAAGAAATTGAGGTGAAAATAGAGTTTTAAAACATACTTGACATGCATTTAAAAGCAAATCAATTTTATGAAAGAAGTGAGTTATGTTGGTATAATGGTAGAATTAAGTTTCACTAATTTTGATATTCGAATCAGATTCTGTAGATAAATGAGATTCATTTGTGCTAAACAGTTCAGTTTCACTTTCACTTCCATTTCTTCATATCCATTGATGTTTGCATTCCCTTAATGACTTTTTTTGTTTTTCTTTTCATCCATTAATGAATATTACCAAATAATAATTGTGCGAAGGTTATTTTTAATTGGGCTTCAAATAAAAATTAGGCTAGGCCTTCTATAACTTTAGGCCCAACAGGGGCAAACCAACAATGTCTGTTGGGTTTCTTTCAGCGATATTTTTCAGTTATGAAATTTTTACTACATTAACCATCATAATAAACCCAGTTTAAGTATATAAAAATAAGGATGTATAATAATACAATCAATGACGACTAATTCAAGAAATATTTGTGACACCTCTCTCTCTCTCTCTCTCTCTCTCTCTCTCTCTCTCTCTCTCTGTGAACAAAAGTGAGACCTGTCTCTTGAGTTTAACAAATTTAAAAGTCTATAAGATCTCATAACGAATTCAAAACCAAAGAATTAGTTCAGTGATTAACGAAGTGTGTTTATATTCAATACGTTAGGTGCTATAATATAATATTATGAAGCTTCAAAAGTCCCACACCGGCAACAATAAAGATTACATGGGGCAGCACTGCATATAAAAAAGAGGTGAGGCTTACAATTACAACATACTTACCTGGACAGGGTCAATGGGTGATCACCAAGGCCCATGGCCTAGGCTGGTACTTTCCATTGCACTTGGGAAAGGTGTCTGCCTAAGGTCTATCCAAGTGATAGAGCCTATGTCATAATTTGTGAAAGTAGGGGCTGCGTTCGCGCGGTCCCTGTCCAATTATTGTTTTTAAAATATTGGTTTGTATTAATTTGTAGTAGTAGTAGGATTAGTGCCCTCTGAAAAAAAGAAATTAGTCTGTACAAAGAGTTTTTCTTTATTCCTAATTTATTTGCTCATTTCATCTAAGAACTCATTTAAGCTTATCTCACTTCCATTCCCATTTACACACTACTCATATTTAGTCCTATCATAACTTAGATATCGATGTAATAACATAAAAAACATGCGTCCCTACTATTCGAATTCATTAAAATCTCCAAATTTGCACTTAAGGATTAGTCAAAAGTCAATGCCCAATTTTGAAAAACCTCAAAGAACCCTTAGCCAATCAATTTTTTTTTTTGGCCAAAACACCTTAGTCAATCAATTAAAACATCTAAACAACCTCAAATTGATCATTTAAACTGAAGTTAATCAATCAAGTCTCTTTCTCTCACAAAATCCCACATTTATTTCCTAATGTCTAGGCCCAAAAGCCCAATAACCACTATTATATTACTTCATTTTCAAGTGTCCCTAAACCTCTAATAACCCTAATATATCATACTAAACAATGACGAATATTTTTTTGGATGTTATAATTTATTTTTTTTTAAATTATAAAACACAGCGTAGTTAATATGAATTGGTTGTTTGGTTCTGAAAAAATGTATAATTATAAAACAAACTCTTGATGGATTGAATTTGCATGCTCATGACCAAATTTGTTCTCATAAAAGGTTATTCTATTTTTTTTAACAGTTTTTTATTTTGATAGATGTCGAATCTAAAAGAATGAGGTCAGAGAGGAAAAATATATTGGATTCATAATTTCATTATCTGTTATATTACTCTCTCTCTCTCTCTAAAAAGGCTTAGCATGTGTTTGGATAGGAGAAGCAAGTCATTTGTTTTTGAATCTAACAAAGCGCAAAGCAAGTAATATAACAGACCAAAGAAAAGCGGATCCTCCAAACGTCAAGGGAAAACATGGCCTGCTCAGTTTTCTTGGACGCCACTTCTTCACCTCTCCACTTGTTTCTTCTTCTTCTTCTTCTTCTGGTTTTTCATCAAACTCTTCTTCCTTTTCTTGAATTCCAACCCTATTAACTGTTGTTCCCTTCGTCATTTTAGGCATTACAATCTTCAATATAGATTCATCTTCTTCATAGCTTGCTTTGATCCCATCCATGTCCGCTCCTTCCGGGATTTTGAACATCTTTCTGAACCCTCCCATCTTCACTTCCTCCTCCTCCTTCATCTTCAAGGGCATCATCGTCATTTCCTGCACTGTCTTCTCTCCACTTACCTACAGCTCACTCCCATCTTCATTAATCTCAATCTCAATGCTCCTTCTCTTATACCCTACATTCACAGACATGCATACAGTTTATTAGTAAAAACAAGAAATTATAAAGGAAGAAAAATAAAATTAATGATCAGGAGACCTTTGAGACGGGCATTGAGGATGAACTTCGTATCAGTTTCTTTAGAGAAGAAGATATTATTGTTTGTTGTACGGTCTTTGGCACACTGAAAATCATCAGAAACAAATAAGGTCATGTCATCATGTCTGGTTTTGGTGATCTTCAGATCTAACCATAATTCCATTTTATGGAATTATATATACTGTGATAGAATGTCAATAAAAAAGACGAGGATTTTCACAAGAGTTGGTACCTATTCCAGCTACAGTTTGTATATATAGTTGGATTAAGGATTGCGAAGTGGATAAAGCACAGATTTATTTCTTCCCATGTAGTATTTATGTTACTATATAATGCTATATCACGTTTTTTAATGTTGCATGTCTGCGACTTTTGTGTTACTAAAACGTACATATATAATGCTTTTTGGGACAAGGGAACTTGTAACGTTAGATTACTTCTCTCCAGACTTCTTCAAAGTGTCATAATATATATGATTTGATTACGTGCTCGAAAATAAAAACAGTATAAGAAAATAAAATTTTAGATATTAATTCTTTATATTCGCGCCCCCCTCCCCCCGGGTGTCGGAATTTCTACAGTATTGTGAAGGGAACGAGTAGCATTGGTACACCATCTATATCTGTACATATATGAGTAGAACCGCCTAAGTTTCGTGATGGCACATGCCATTAATGTTTTTATATTTTATTATTTATTATTTAAAATATAAACAAAACTACCTCACTCCTACATCTCTCTATTAAGTATTATCTCCCAACTTCCTATTAACTTATTTATAATTCTTGCAATTTTATGCAGCCATGTAAGATTTATTTTTTATATTTATTTTCAAGTTTTTTTACTAAGTTTTTTATAATTTTATGCAGCCACATATTATTTTGAATGCAAAAAATTATAATTTCAAAAATTGACAAAAACTGCTTTCCATTAATACTTAATATTTTCTCCTGTGATTTTGAATATAACTTTTCAAATTATAATTTAATTTTTAAAAATGTAATTTAATTTAATAATATATCTTCTATCTATAAATCTCTAGAAATTATACCAATCCACATCATGAGTAGAAGAAGAATTTTATGAGTAAATTTAATTTTTTTAAGTTGGCAAAAAAAGTAAATTTATTTTTTTTTCAATTTGTAAGATTGTAATTTGAAGATATAACTTGGGAAAATGACAATTAAGACCCCTTAAGGACATTCATCTCAATTAAGGACCATGGGATACAAAACATATCTAACTTTACAAAATTACCCTTCATTAAACATTAAAGGAGTAATAGCTTATGTTTGTGTTCTTTGTTCTTCTTTTTGGGCATGAAAAATTATCTGCCCTCATGTGCTCTTGTGCATAAAAATCCTGATTCATAATTCCACAGACTCCAACCAATTCATGTTAAGCGTGCATATTTATGGATACGTTCATGTAAAATCACAAGAGCTATATATACGCACACCTTAATCTCAAAAGCCTACATAAAAGTAAAAAGATAAAGGGAGAATGACAAGTAAGGACCCCAAAAGAAAGTTGATGTCAAATTAGGGTTTTTTTTAATATTGAAGTTCTCAAATTCAGTACTCCTTCTCCCATGTTTCAGTACTAAAATTCCTAATTTAATATCAACTTTGTTACAAGGTTCTTACTTGTCATTCTCCCAAAGATAAACTCAAACAATCACTAAGAGAGAGAGGGAGGGATAATATATGCATGCTTATCTCACTTGACAATCACTGAGAGGGAGAGGGAGGAATATAGGACATGATAGAGAGATTGGGAGAAGTGTAGTCATTGAGTATTAGTCCAAGTAATGAATGGTTTAATTTAAGAAAGGGAGAATGGTGGGCATTGTAAAGTGTTCAAGATGACTCATATTGCTGATCTATTGACAAAAAGAAGTTATTAAAATATCAAATTCCCGAGACATATTGTGAAGCTTTTTATTTTTGGCTTGAAAAACAAAATTATGATTTTCTAAGGTGAAAGGCCATTCAATTCTGGGCACTGACGAAAAGGCTAAAGATCCAATCTTTGGACTAACAATGGGGACTAGTTCTCAAGCCATTGGTGATTTTTTCAAGTGAAGTGACATTGTGTATCTATAATGGTCATGGATCAGTAATCTTGTTTATTCATGCTAAAGAAAATAAGGGAATGAAAAGAATGGAATTGGGAAAGTAGATGCTGATTTGGTTTTTGGAGTTAGAATCATCACGATTTTGTAAAAGATGTACAAACATGTAAAGATAAAACATATTTACTCTAACTTTCAGGACTTGAGGCAAGAATTGAAAATATTTTCGTTTGTGATACTAAGAAGTTACTAATTGAACCATATTTTGTCCTAAGCGATTTGCTGCAATAAATGGTTTCGTGTTGAAAGCAGAAATGTTGATAACCCTCCAGTGATATCAATCCACAGTTTGAGTTGTAATTATCAGCTATTTCTCACATAAATCTAACTCATAAAATTTAGGTGCCAAGTTTGTATGATGAAGTTTTACATTGTTCATTCCTTTATAGTTTCCTTTGTATAATGTTATTTTCAAGTTTTTAACAAGGAATGAGTTTAATTTACAATTCTTAGTTGTTATGTTTCACTTCAAACCACCCTCTGAGGTTGGAGGAGGGAAAGATGTAGACCCAACATTACTTCATGCTCAAACTTAATTTTATATAAGAATGGGATGATAAGCCTAAAACTTCTGACCAAATGATATAAGAAGCCTGAAATCTTGCAAAGAACCTTCAACCTAAATCCTTAAGTTGCTAGATAAAGCAATCTGGCATCAATTTTACTTCCCAAACTTTCTTAGATATGCAAATGCTATCCTAAATACCTGGAGTTAACTTGTCCCTAATTATTTGCATTGATAACAAATAGTTTTAGCGTCAATTTGATGCTACTGACAGGCATATTCTTATCGCAAAGTTCTTCCTATTCTCGCCAAGGACTATCATGCCATAGCTTTTGATTGGCTTGGTAAGATCTTTTTGTTTGAATTGTTATCAAAATTTCTTTGTTTCTATGTTGGAGCTAGCTGTCAAACTTATCTCCTATTATTACCATCTCTTCATTCCATATTTACAGTGTTTTCAGTTAAAAAAATTGTCAAGACAGTACATGTTAGAAGCCATGAAATGTGTTGGTTAAGGGGTTCTTAGCGTAGTAAGAGGTGAGAAGACAACGGAGAAAACAACACCAACAAGAATGATGAGGAAGCATTAAGGCACGCAACAGACTATGAGACAAGACAATTGAGCAGTCTAACTAAAGAGTGGTTGTTGAAACCTGCAGCACAGCAAGAGCCCTTACCATTAGTGGGAGAGTGAGGAGTCCTAATTGTGAATCCTTTCACTGAGCGTATCAATTGCAAAAATATGTTCTTGAGGATGTTTTCCTCTCAGAAGGGGGTAGTTCAAATGCTTAGAGACATTGGTTGTACAAGCAATATGGTGCTTTTTCTCACAAAAAAGAGGCACAAATTGGGGAAATAATGGCACAATTTGGATAGTGTCTATGTAAAAGAATGGATCACTACTATTGAGGGGATGAAGGATTTCAG